GATCCTGGGTGAGGTCAAGGCGTCGGGCTTGCGGGGCCGCGGAGGTGCTGGCTTCCCCACTGGCCTCAAGTGGAGCTTCATGAATAAGCCCTCAGATGGCAGGTGTGTGTAGGGAGGCAGAGATGGGGTTGCAGGAGGAACCTTGGGGGTGGCTGCGGCTTCCCCAGGCCTTTGGGTTGTTTCCTTGGAGTGAATAAAATGGGAAAATGTCACCGGAGCTTGAGTAGGTGGAACTCAGTTCTCTCTGGTCTTCCTCAGGGGAGACTTGAGGGGTAGCCGAATTAACACAAGGTTTCGACTCAGGCCGACTTAATTGATCAGTTCCTAGCTCTGCCTTCTAATCATATAGCTTTGGGCCATCTCCTGGCCTTTCCCTCCCCCGCCTTAGTTCTCCCCCATACCACCGCTTCCTCCCCTGACCCATGGATGTTGCCGTCTCCCCTTAAGAACTGGATCTCTGAAGGCGGGGCGTCTCCTTCCACGTGCTCGCGGTGTGCACCCGGGCCCCGGGCATCCCGGCACACTCGGGGGGGCCCAGCACACCTGAGGAGCTTGGCGCACCCGGGGTGTGGTCCGTGGCTCCACCTGGGGCACGAACCGAGAACCTTCCGTGTGTAAAGCAGACGTTCTGACCGCTACACTACGGAGCCACCCCGATCCTGGCCTTTTTGAACCTCGTGTTTTGTTTTTTTTTGTAAATGGGTTTTGCGTAGGGATTGGAGAGGTAATGTGTAACAGCTTTTGGCCTGTGCGTTGGTCAGCAGATAGAAAGCAAAGGATAAACGCCGGCCACCTTACCTCCTTTGGCCCCACAGATACAGTGGAGGTTCAGGAAGGTGCTCTGTGACCAGAGCAGAATGTAGGCTCTCGAGAAAGCACAGGGAGAGACATTTGGACTGAGCAGAACAAAGACCTTTCCTGTGCTCATAGCCACCCAAAGGTAGAATAGGCAGTGAGCTCCCTGTCATTGGTGGTGAACAATCAGAGCTCCTGGGAACATGTTGGGAGGGCAGAGAGGGATTGGCTGCCAGAGGAGACATCTTTGAGGCTTTCCTGGGTGGGTGGAATTGGGGTTGAAAGCCCAGCCATGGTGGCCCAGTAGCGTAACTGACCTGCTGGCCCCAACAGGCCCAAGTACCTGGTGGTGAACGCCGATGAGGGGGAGCCTGGCACCTGCAAGGACCGAGAGATCATGCGCCACGACCCCCACAAGCTGGTGGAAGGCTGCCTAGTCGGGGGCCGGGCCATGGGTGCCCGTGCTGCCTACATCTATATCCGTGGGGAATTCTACAACGAGGCCTCCAATCTGCAGGTGGGCCGGGGGAGGGACACCCACAGAGGAGGAGGTGCTAGGTGTGCACTCACATGCCCACTTACCTGGCATAGTTCTTAGATTTTAGTGCTTGATCTGTCCAAGGTCACACCAGGAGAGCGGTGGTCACTCCTGCATGCATCATGAATGGGACATGACCCCAAAGCCTCCTTTTCTGGGCTTTTCCTCTAGAGCCTCAACTTGGGAGGCCTTCCAGGGCTCCTGGACTCCTAGGGTGCCGGGGGGGCTAGGGAACTCGCATGAGGGTTTATTTCCTGCGGAAGAGTCCGGGGGTCATTTCAGTAATTCTCAGCTTGGTGATGCCCGTAGTGATTGGTCCAGGGCCAGAGTCACACCTTTCTAATAGGCGCCTACACAGCACAGGTTTACGGGACCAGCCCCTGCAACAGTGCGTGGCACATAGTAGCGTTGTGCACAAGAGCTACAGTTACATATTTTTAAATAAACCGGTAGGGTCTCTTCCTCTATTGTAGGAGCGGTACTTACTCATTATAAAAATAGGAAGCCACACACACACAAGAGAAAAACCTCCCAGACTCACTACCTAGAGAAACTGCTCGCTAAATTTGTATTTCCTAAAATCTTTTTTTTTAAATGCATATAGTTGGAGGATTTTTAAGTGTTATTGCAATAGCATGCACACTGTCGAAGTCCCCACCCCCTCAGAGTGTCCTCCACTTGTGTCCAAAGGGAACTTTCACCCTGGATTTGGCGATGGACTCACGGGGCCTGTACCCCCAACCCCATACACAGTGTTCCCGGGCTCCTGGGGACAGTGCCCTTACACCTCTGTCCCACAGGTGGCCATCCGAGAGGCCTACGAGGCTGGTCTGATTGGCAAGAACGCCTGTGGCTCCGGCTACGATTTCGATGTGTTCGTGTTGCGGGGGGCTGGGGCCTACATCTGCGGGGAGGAGACGGCGCTCATCGAGTCCATCGAGGGCAAGCAGGGCAAGCCCCGCCTGAAGCCGCCCTTCCCCGCCGACGTGGGTGAGCCCCGGCCCCCGCCCGGGCCTTGTCCTATGGAGTCCGGGATCTGGCTGCAGGTCCCCACTGGTTGTTCCTAGGGAGTTTCCGAGTTCCTGCTGCACTGGGCGCCGGACAGAGTAGGGGTGAAGCGACATAGACACTCCACCAGTGCCAGCTGCCTCATCCTGCCTCAGGCCCCACGTGAGGCACCCAAGTCCCTTCCAGCCCTCCAGGAGTGAAGGACAGGGTGGTAAACGAGGCGATGCAGCTCCCGCTGGAGTCTGGAGTCCAGTGGGGATGAGTGACAGAGGGGTGAACGCGGGGAGCTCCTTGCCACGAAAGCAGGTCTCTGGGACAGACCCCACTGCCAAGAAACCCAACCCGCCCCCACCCCTGGCAGCCACCAGTCTCTTGTCCCATTTCCCGCAGGAGTGTTTGGCTGCCCCACGACTGTGGCCAACGTGGAGACGGTGGCGGTGTCCCCCACCATCTGCCGCCGCGGAGGGGCCTGGTTTGCCAGCTTCGGCCGTGAGCGCAACTCAGGCACCAAACTGTTCAACATCTCCGGCCACGTCAACCACCCTTGCACCGTGGAGGAGGAGATGTCTGTGCCGCTGAAGGAACTGATTGAAAAGCATGCTGGTGAGGCCCGGGGCCATCGGTGGGGGACAGGACAGGGTGTCCATGAAGAGAGCCAGGGCTGGAAGGGCCTCAGGAGCCGGGGGTGGGGTCGGGGCTCACAGGTCCTGGGCTCAGGACTAGGCAGGTGTTCTGGCCCCAGTCCTGACCAGCCATCCTTTTGGGGACTGACGGGGGCCCCAGGGGGTGTCTCGGGTGGCTGGGACAACCTCCTCGCTGTGATCCCCGGCGGCTCGTCCACTCCGCTGATCCCCAAGTCCGTGTGTGAGACGGTGCTGATGGACTTCGACGCGCTGGTGCAGGCGCAGACAGGCCTGGGCACAGCCGCGGTGATCGTCATGGATCGCTCGGTAAGGGCTGGCGAACACGCCCCACCCGGTCCCTGCCTCACGCCAGCCTGCTTTGTACCCCTCCCCGGGCGTCTGAGAGCTCTTGCCAGCCCCGGGTCCTGGTTCCTGTAGCCTGATGTTCTGTGAGGTTGAAGGGAGGGGAGCAAGGCTGCTCCGGGGGCCGCCCGTGGAGTCTGGGCAGCCCAGGATGCCCGGGTCGGAGGGTGGGGGTGAGGGGGTGGCCAAACGGCATTGGATCAGGAGGGTCTGCTGCTGGGGGCTGAGGGCTGGGGCCCAGGCCTTGGGTGCCTGCTCACTGTCCCTCGTCTCTCCAGACAGACATTGTGAAAGCCATCGCCCGCCTCATCGAGTTTTACAAACACGAGAGCTGTGGCCAGTGCACCCCATGCCGTGAGGGTGAGCACCCCAGGTGGGGTGGGGGCTTTCTCTATGGCTCACCCTGGGCTGGGCGCATGACGGGTGGGCTCTGCACCCCAAGTAAACAGCTGCTGCCTCTTGGTCTACTGTGGCTTCTCTTAGTCCCCACCCACTGTGGCCTGCACCCATCAAGTGCCATCCCCCACGCCCCAGGTAGAGGAGACCATCACGCCCTCTCTTGCTGCTGTGGCTGCAGGTGTGGACTGGATGAACAAGGTGATGGCCCGCTTTGTGAGGGGGGACGCCCGGCCGGCTGAGATCGACTCTCTGTGGGAGATCAGCAAGCAGATAGAGGGCCACACCATTTGTGCCTTGGGTGACGGGGCCGCCTGGCCCGTACAGGTACTGTCCTGCTGGTGCACTAGGGTGGGGGGTGCCGAGAGCCCAGGGTATTGGGAGATTTTTAGACCTCAATTTATACAGTGCTCCCCGCCCCCCAGGGCCTGATCCGCCACTTCCGGCCGGAGCTTGAGGAGCGGATGCAGCGGTTCGCCCTGCAGCACCAGGCCAGGCAAGCCGCCTCCTGAGCCCACTGCCCCGGGCTGGCGTCCATCTGTCCGGAGGGCTGTACAATAAAGCGAGTGCTGCCCACTCTCCCGTTGCAGCTTCTTTGTGGCCTTGCTCTTCACCTTGCCACCTGTGGCCTATTACTCATGGAAGCCTATTTTTTAGACAGGCGGAGGCTTGGGAGGGGATAGGTCAGCTCAGAGTCATGTCATCAACCCACACCTTGGCCTCCTGTGGGTCCGTGAGTCTGTTCTGGGCCATCGTGAGCCCCCAGCCCTCAGTGCAGGAAGCAGGGGTGGGAAGTGGTGTCATGAGGGGAAAGCTGTGGCTTGGGGTCCACACCTGGCCCTCTGGAAGGTGGAGGCAAGGCGAGCAGGGCCCAGTCTGCCCTGTGAGGCGATGGGCAGAGAAAGAACAGGCTTGCCCCGGTCTGCTGTGGCAGAGGTTTATTCTTGCTTCCTGATTTGGCAGTGGGCACACTTGAAAGGCGGGAAGGAAACAGTTTGACCAGGGCATGAGGGGGTGAGGCAGCCCTCGGTCCTCCCAGCTCTGTGGGGACGTCTGTGGGTCAGTTTTGGGGAGAAGCGGTGAGCAGGGCACGGCCAGCGCCCCTGCTAGTCACTGAGCTGGAGGGGTACACCGTCCAGTGGGTGCCACAGCTCCAGCCGGCGGTCACTGCGGCCCAGGCATTCGCGCCAGTGCCGCTGGCGCTCCCCACTGGTCCGGGCACTCAGCTGTACCCCGCCTGGGTTGGGGATAGAGGTCAGGAGCTATGTGGGAGCCCACTGGACCCCCTGCCCTGCATTCCCACTCACCAATGAAGTCGTTGGCTGTGCCCAGGTCATAGTCCCATACAGACACCAGCAGTGTTTTCTGGGCCAGCTCCTCCCTCGGGCCTGCATAGAAGAATTCCTGCAGGGCAGGGGACAGGAAGGCAGGAGGAGGAGGAGGAGGCCTGGGGTCCTTTGCAGTTTCAGAAACAGGCTCAGGCAGGTGAGCGGCTCAGGCTAGCGGGGACCTGTGCTTTCTGACCGAGGCAGGACGCTGACCTCCCCCGCCCCAGAGCAGCCAGGATGGCATCGGCCTGGCCTTGGCCTACCTCATTGAACTCGGGGTTCAGGGTCTTCTTCCGAACACTGGTCTTGTATTTAGATTTCTTTCCCACATTTGGATGCAGGAAACTGGGGAGGATGGGGTCAGGTTACATGCGGCCTTGGAGAGGTGAGCCCCGTAGGGCTCTGAGGAACCCCCATACCCACCTGTTCACCGTGTTTACACTCACAGGCGGACGAAGGGGTCCGAGTAGCCATTGGCATCCATGGGGGCGAGGTGGGCGCAGCGCAGCACACCCACCAGCAGGCCACCCCGCTGAGAGCTGTAGCACAGTGACAGCAGGATGCGCCCACGTTCCTCCCCAGCCACCTCCGCCTCCACCTCCTGCAGGGTAGGCTGGGGTCAGCCCCTGTGTGGCCCGAAGCCTACCCACCCACCCAGTGTTGGCCAGGATGTGAGAACTCGAGCCGGCTGCAAAGAAATCGAGCCAGTGATTTAACTTCATGATTCGATTTCCTGAGACAGTCATTGACTTAGTGCTCTGGAAGGGAACTTAGAGGGTCAGCTGTGCCCTCGAGGGCAAGAAGGAGGGGGCTTGCTCAGGCAGTGTGACGTCACCGAGTGCCACAAACAGGCCAGGAGCTTCCTAAGTGAGTGCCCACTAAGTGCCCATCACTGCCCCTGCAGGGCTAGCCCAGTGTCCCTGAGACCACTCTGAGTGGCTGTTCTCTACCCAAGAACCTATGGGTCCTTCCAGCTACAGAACCCCCCCCTTTTCACCTCCCACCTCCTTGGGGACCAGATGCAGACTGTCCTTTGCCATACTTGGCCCCTGGTGCTTCTGAAAGGACTTGAAGAGGATGCCTGGGAAGAATGTTTTTCTGCCACACTTAATGTAGGATTCAATTTGCAGAAAGCTCAACTGTGCCCGCGTTCAGCTCTCAGTAAGGGAGTGCTCTGTGAGCACCTGCCGTGCACCATGGCACTGCCGTGTGTGGGGTCTGGGACCGGAAGTGGATGGCGCAGGGTGCCTGCTCCACATTGGCGAGACTTGCCCAGCCTTGGTTAGTTGGCAGCAGTAACTTGCGGCTCCACTAGCGGGCAGGACAGCAGCACCTGGCCCTTCAATGTGAGAGGGGCCTGGGCCAGCAGTGCCTCAGCCTTGCAGGTGGCCCACCCCTCCTGTGCAGAAGGGGTTCCGGCCTGATTGTTGGTCTCCTGTGGAGCCCCTTGCAGTCACCATCGCTGCCACCTGATAAGGGCCTGTCAGGAGTGGCACTAGCCCCAGGAGAGGCACCCACACTACCCCAGGGGCTCACCCAGCAGTTGGAACCATACCCTGTCCATTCTCTGCTGCCCTCAGGCCACAGACAAATCCCACCTCTGCCTCAAGGTGGCCTGGGTCTCTGCCCCCTTGCCTGTCCCCATGTCTCACGGCTCCTCTGGGCTGCCATGACACAGGTGTCCACCTCCCTACGCAGTCACTGGTCTGGCTATTCCCCAGGGTTCTTCTGAGCAGTGATGACAGTGACAAAGCCCATGAGAGAGATGGCCTCAGTTTCTCCAAGCCCACCTTGTCCCCTGCCTGATGCACTTCTGCCTGGGCCAGCCCAGTCTTTTCCGCCCCCAACCCCGTGCCGTCCTGCTGTCCTACCCACCTCCTCATACAGGGACATGCCGCGGGCTGTGTCCAGGCTCTTGGGCCTCTTGGTCTGAAAGAGCAGAGAGCCCAGTCACCTTGGCCGACACTCACTGCCCAGATTCCCCTCGCGGCCCTCCCCTCTCTAGCTTTCCCGGCATGAGCTTCCTCGCCCCTGAACCCCCACTCTGTGCGCCAGCCCCACTCACCAGCCTCCGCTTCTCCAGACACACGTTGAAGCTCCTGGCTCGGTTGGGTACCAGCCTCCTCAGGGGCACCCGCAGCTCCCCCAGGGGGGGTGCCCGCCGCCGTCTCCGCAGCCGCGGGTCCTCACACACACACAGTCTGGTGGCCACCCAAGTCAGACCTGGCCGTGTAAGCCCCTACCCCGCCCTGCTCCCTCACGGCCCACGCCCGGTCCTCACCGCAGGGTCTTACGCCCAGCGTCCTGGCGGGTGAAGCCATAATAGGTGAGCGTCTCTTCCCAGACAGGTCCCCTTGTGCCCCGAACTGTGTGTGTCCGCAGCTGGCTGGCCTAGGGGCCAGGCAGGGTGGGTCAGGGCCTCAGTCCTTAGGGCCCCACCCTGGCCCACCTCCCTGATGGGATCCCCGGTCGCATATTCCAGCAATGGGGAGCTGCGGGCCTGATGTCCAGGTCCTTGGAGGGAGGAGCAGGGCAGGACAGGTGGGTGACCAGGCTGGGTGTGGCCAAGGAGCAGCAGTAGTGGCCTGGGTCTCACCCTCACCTTGCTGGCCCCTGGCAGTAGGTTGGCTTTGACGTAGGTGTCCACAGAGCCTGAGGCCGGTGGCTTGAGGCCCTGGGAAGAGACAGTGGATGTGAGGCAGGCCTGTGGCTCAGACCCGTGGCCCAAGGACCCCCACCCACACCATTACCTTGGCACGATGAGCCGTGCAGTGCAGAGTGCTGTTGTCCGCGTCGAAAAGAAGCGTGAACTCAAGGGTGCCCAGGGCAGCTGAGGGCAGGTGGTAGACGGGGTCAGTTCCCACCCGAAACCTCCCCTGTGGCACCGTGCCTCCTGCCCTGCCCCTCTCATCTGAGGTCAGATGCCTTGGATGCCCCAGACCCCACCCTGGCTGGGCTGGGCCCGGAGTGTCCCCCTTGTCCACTGTCCCTACTCACTGCTGTCGTCTGAGTCTCCCTCTGGCTCTAGGTCCGGCTGCCGCTGGGGCGCAGGGTGGGTGGCAGGGGCCACTGCAGGGCGTGGGTCTGGGGTACGCAGGGCAGGCTCGGCGAACGGGTTGAAGTGCGGGAAGTAGTCGGAAATGAGGTGGATAGGCCGGATGGGGCCTGGGCTCACGTCGATGGCCATGTGCTCCTGCATGCTCACCCGCGGCGGCCGCCTCCTGCTGGCTGCTGCTGCGCCCGCCATGGGGGCTCAGACATGGGGCGGGAGTTCAGAGAAGGCCCCGCAGACTGGAGATGAGGGGGCTGCACCCAACGAGTTAGGGCAAGGAGGCATCACGGAGGGCACTGAGGGGCTCCTGGGTGGCAGCCGGGACCTGAGGACAGCGCATGGTGAAGGGGGGTGGGATGGGGGAGAAGAGGAGGCTCCGGCCTGGAGGGGGAACCTGGTGAGCAGGCAGGTGAGCCGGCCGGGCTACTTACTGCTCTGAGAGCTCCGCCTGGTTCGGTTCGCTGCTAGCTGTGCGCCTGGCTGTGCGCCTGACTGAGGTAACCTGTGAGAGCAAGAGTGTAACCAATGGCCTCCTGGTCCCTATGGGGGAGAAGGAAGAGGCGGGGCTCAGAACCCACCTCCAGGGCTCAGGAGGTGGCACCTCCCTGGCCTCAACCCCAAGGGTCCCTTTCCTTAGTGGGGGGGGGCCTCAGCCTCCCTCCTCCTCCCTCACGACCTGCACCCTACATGCTGTCAGAGTTATTTTTACCACCATCATGAGGCTCTGCTCCCTGGTGAGAAGGCTGGAGGGCCAGAGGTGACGCAAGGGGTGTGAAGGGCAATGAGAGGGGTGTGAGGGAGGAGGGCAGGAGGAGGGAGCCTAAGGGAAGGAGGAGGGGTGCAGGGCCCCCTTGGGAGGTGCGGAGTGGGTGCATGAGAAGGTGAGGTGGGAGGGATCGGGGAGAGGGGAGGCAGTGCCGGGCAAGAGGGCATCTGCAGTCTGGTCCCCTTGCAGCTCCAGCTTTTGAAAACGTGGGTCAGATGACTTCAACGCCTCTCTCCCCCTCTCCGGGCTTGGAATAAAATCCTAACCTATCACCGAGGCTGTCCCCTTGGTGCCTCAGGGGGTCCCCTGAGTGCACCAAGTTCCACGTTTATTCTTCTTGGTTTCCTTGAATGCCCCAAGCTTTGCGCATTGCTGCACCTGCCCAGAGTTCCCTCCCCTGCCCTTTGACCTAGCCCATTGCTGCTCACCTTTGGGTTCAGGGTCACCTTCCAACCTTCCCTCTTCCCAGTGGTCCTCTGGAGGCCACCCCTCCCCTACTCAGCTCAAGAGGTTCACCCTCTTCCCCAGGCTTGTGCCTCAGACCCTGCCAATCAAAGAATTCCAAATCCAGTTGGCCACATGACAAACTCGGGGAAGGCCATGTGACCCAAGGCAGGCCAGTACAGTGCAATTCTGGGTTAGACTAGCCGAGAAAGAGAAGCAGCGTTCCGCTGACGGAACGCGGGTGCCACGCGGTCCTGGAGCTGCTGGCCTCCTCACCTCTCCCCCCTGTGGTGTAGAGAATGCTCCCGAAGAACGAAGCCAACACAGTGGAAGCGGCCAGAGGAAGAGCCCCTGGATGCAGCCATGCCTGAAGCGAACCATCCCCGGAGTTTGTAATCTCCATTCCTCTTTTGGCAGTCAGCTAGGGGAGTTTTCTATCACTTGTCCTGGCTAATAACTCCCAGTCCACCATGTCAAGTTCCGACCTCCCACCCCTGAATTCTCTCATGAAGCCCTGGTCTATATAATTGCTGTATAATTCCACTATTATCTCAGATTGATTAATGTGCAATCGCACAATTATCTATGTGACCTGATCTAAGGTCTCCTTCAGAGTGAGTCCCAGCTGCCACCAGAAGCAGGACAGCATCTGGCTGATCTGCAGATGTGGCCCCAGCATGGCAGCTGGCCACGGTGGGCGCTTGGCAGTAATGTGCAGGGCTCCCCCCGATTCCTGCAGCCTGGCACATGGTCAGCCAGGCACGGAGGAGGGGACGGTGCAGCGGCTAGGAGTTTGCGCTAGAGTCAAAGAGGGCCTGGTTCAAATCCCTGCTTGGGGTGAACTTAGGCAAGGTATGTGTCCCCCCTGAGACCCAGTCTCACCAGCCAGGGACACTGTTGGCTGTCATGAGGGTGACATGAGAGAAATGATGCTGAGCACCTGGCACACAGTAAGGGCCCACTGCTGTGAGTGACCGTGTGACAGAGGTACCCTAACCGGAATACCAGCTGTCCTGTGGGGTGTGCCCAAGGTCAGGGCCCCAGTGCAGAAGATGCAGTCACTGCGGAGTTGGCAAAGACTCTTTATTCAGTCCTGGAGTGGAGCTGCCCAGGCTGGGGCTGCTTAGGGCCAGGTCTTTAGACTCTTGGCAGCCCAGACATGACCAGGCGGGGCTGGTAGGCACCAGGTGCTATCAGCTGCAGGGCAAACTCTGTGATGGCAGCTGTGAGCCCCCAGACACGGTGTGGCCCGTGAAGGAAGACAGGCAAAGTGTAGCGGTAGTGGCTGCCCTTGCGGAAGTGGGTATAGCCTTGGTTCTCCACCTGCAGCAGGTGGGCTAGGGACAGTGCAAACACCTCGTCCACCTGTGGGCAGGAGGCAGGGAGAGGGTGGGCAGAGGACCGACCATTGCAGCCTCCCCGCATTGGGACAGCCCAGGCCCTCAGCACTTACCTCCTCGGGGTTGGGCTTGAGGCTCTGGGGATCCAGTGGGCCCACACCAGCAAGCACCGGCGCTATGGTGGTCTTATTCTGGCACAGGAAGGCAGACAGTCAGGGGAGGCATGATCTTGGCAGGGCTTTGGGGCTGGGGAGGGGCAGCTGGGAGAAGGACCCCGCCTTGCCATCCAGAGGCCTTCAGCAGTCAAGGTCAGGTCCACTTGGCCCCCTGGGGGCTCACTGCGGCCAGGCGGGCTGGCTCGCCCACATTCAGGCCTCTGGGCCTTTTGCAGATTGTTCCCTGCAGTTGGGACAACCTTCTTTTTTACTACCCTACAATCTGCCACTTGTGATTCAGTCCCTTCTTTCCCGGTGAAGCCTTCCTCAACCTTCAGCCATCAAGCTGAGCAGAGCTGGTTCACCTTGGGGCTACTTCTATCCCAGATTTGAGTGTCACTATCCTCCATGGGAGGGGGATAAAAATACCCCTGGCCCCTCTCCAACTTGTCGTGTGGGGATGGAAGGCGACTGCCAAGCAGGTGACTGGTGCTCCACTGCATTGCATTCCATGCCTGCGAGTCCATGACCCTGCTCCTTGTGCCTGGGGTCCCGGCTCCTAGCCCAGTGAATGAGGTAAGGGCTGGCGATGGCCTCAGAGCCTGGTGGGCTCACCTGGTCATATACTGGCTGCAGGATACCCCACACATGGTCCTCAGGCACCACCAGGCCCAGCTCCTCGTGGGTCTCCCTCAGGGCCGTGTGCACCACGTCCTGGTCAGCAGGGTCACGCTTGCCGCCTGGGAAACTAAACAGGCATAGACAGCCTGGTTCTTGGGCTCTTGGGGCCATGGAGGGGCGGGGATGGCAGCTGTGGCAGAGGGCCAGTGGCCCACCTAAGCCTCTGCCCCTAGTTTGCGGCGAGGCCGGCAAGATCTCTCCAGGCTGTTTACCTCCCTGAGCAATGGGGATAAGGGAGAGAGGCTCTGGAGCTCAGACCTGTACATTCCATCTACGGTGGCTCCAGTGGCGCTGACAGGGACCCTAGGGTGTTCCCAATTCTCGCCGAGGGCGGGGCCAGGGCTGGAAGCCAGGAAGCGACGCCCCGCGCGCTACCTTTGCCGTGGGACCTGAATCTCGCCCTAGCCGTTGGGAGTGGGCAGGGTCCTGCCTTTTCAGAGAGTAGGACATAACTCAGAGAGAGGCGTCGCCGACCGGAGGTGATGCAGACGTGCTTAGAGGGTCCCGGCGTGGCGCCCGGGCAAGAGCACTCCCACGCTCCAGGAGGAGGGACGCGGGTCGCAGGCCCTGCCGTAGCCCGCCGGCCAACGGGCTCTTTGCAGACCCATTCCACAGAGGCGGGAACCGAAGTTCGGAGAGGCTGCGTGCCCGGCCCGCGGTACCAGCAGTCTCCAGGGTTCAGCGGCCTTCTCCTAAAAGGGAGACAAGTTCCCGGGCCTGTACCTGACGTCACCCTTGTGCCTCCCGGCCAGGCGGCTAGACCGCAGCGTGTAGAGCAGCGCCGGGACCCCGCGCACGGAGCACAGCGGCACGA